CGCCTTCCCACAAGACTCACTATGTTCTTAAGTGGTTCCCTAGGGATCATGCTTAAAACAGCCTATTCTCCCCAGGCCTCACCACTGTGTCCAGCATTATCAAGCTGCCATGAAAGGTGGACAGAATTTGGGGTCATGCAGCTTTGGGCTCAAACCTCAGCTCTGACACTTCTTAGCTGTGTGACCTAGAGCAAACCTCTTAGCTTCCCTGAGCCCGTTTCCTAGTGTTTAAAGTGAGGCTCATCATACATACCTTGTAGGGTTCTTGTCAAGAGAAAATAATGTTTGGAAAAAGTGCTCTGTAATCTGTACAGTCCAATGTGATTGTCTCAAGTGCCCTCATTAACCATTCTCCCTTTGATGGCTCTGTTCCTCTAAGTATCTGCTCCACTTAAATGTATGATACTGTGATTTGCTTTTAAATTGTTCTTTTGTTATTTTAATTCTCTCTCCTATAAAATGTGTTCCTCAAAGATGAGTTCTGCATGCCCTATCATTTCTCTGTTCCTTCAGAGCCAAGCAGCCGACTCTCCAGTGTCAAAATAGGCAGTGTTAAAATGCGGGAAAGGTGTTGTATGGCGACAGGGCTCAGTATAAAATGCACACTTGTAAATACCCCCTGAATCTACAAACTGATCCTTCCTGTGAAAGAAAAAACACAGGCCCCAAATGTTGTCACTTAGGCTAAAAGCCCATGATACAAAACCTAGATTTAATAACTGATCTAATTAAAGTTTCAATCTCTCACAGAAACATAAACCAGTATGGAATTTTCTGTTCAAATACCAGTAAGGTAATCTGTCACAGGGTCCTCTCCATCCCCCATAGGAAAAAAAGGCAATCTGCATGATAAAAACACTACCCATTCTCTTCCTTCAAAGAAAAGGTGTCCAGGGCCCCAAAATATTCCTTTTTTTTTTGTTAATAATTCCCTTGCTCCACCTCTCTCCCTATAAAAATCCTTTTATTTTGTACAGCCTCTCTACTTGTTAAATGGCATGCTGCCTGATTCATGAATGACTTAATTAAAGCCAATTAGATCTTCAAATTTACTAGGATGAAGTTTGTTTTTAACATGTTAAAATCAGTTTCACTCCTTTATACCACAAGCTAACCTATGAACATCCTACACAGAATGAACTGCAAATGAGTATGAGCTATTGCCAACTCTACCAAATAGTTCGTACACATTACTATGCTCTCCATTCTTTACAGAAATAATGTAAACTTGTCCCTTTACTAGCTCCTTCTTAGCTTCATTTTTGGAAAGATTTTGCTTTTTCAAGATAGAAGCAGGCCAATTCACCAAGTCAATTTATTAACATCAAGCTTGCCAAAAGCCAACTTGCCAGTAGACCATTTGACTGAATGGCCAACAAATGGACTGCGAATGAAAAACTGGTTCTATGCAAAGTAACCTCACAGTGTGATCTGATCAATCAATAAATAATGAATAAGGAAAAGCAGAGGAGAGGAGAGGGGACAGGAGGGGTGAGATGGGGAGGGGAGGAGATGAGAGAAGAGGGAAGAGAGTAGGGGAGAGGAGAGAGGGGAAGGGAGGGGAGGGGAGGGAGTGGAGAGGAGAGGAGAAAAGGAAGAAGTGAGATGGAGGAGGAAAGAGGGAGAGAATAATGATAAAGCAAATGGGGAGAAATGTAAACAGTTGTGAGTATGGGCAATGAAGGATACATGTCGTAGCTCCTGCCAATATTCAAATAAAAAGTTAAAAAAATTAATAGAGCTATAGCAAAAGAATA